ATAAGTCTCCAATGAGAAGAGAAGTGTTTTGTTTGGGTCAGTGGGGAATTTCTTTTTATAGGGGAGCATAAAATGAGTTGTCTCACTTTGTCACGTACAACTCTAGTAACTAATTGGTCGTATTTACTGTAAAAAAAATTCAAAGACTCTGCTAGGACTTTAGTTACGTCTATAATGTAATTTCATATGATGTAGTTGATATATGGAAATATCGAATTTCGTAGTGTAGCTTCTTTGTTTTTGTGCAAATCAAATATGGTAGTAGCTAGAATAAGACAAGAAATGAATTCAGGAAAAAGAAAAGAAATTGCGATAAGTTTTTTTAAAAAGGTCAATCAAGAAGAAGTTTTAGGCCAAAACATATAAATCTTTTTTGTCAGAAAACATATGTATAGTATTCAAGTGAGGATCAAATTTGAGATTGAAAACCCACAGAAAGGTTCGAGAATATTAGACCAAGAACTACTTGGTAAGTTTTGATACAATTATATTTCATTTTTGGTTAAAGTGTAATTTTTTAATTATTTTATCAAATGTCAAAGGTTTGAATGAAATTTTTATAGGATTTTATGCCATTTAATATTTTATTACAATCGTGTTCCTTTCAAAGTTGCTAGGACATCAATCGACGACACAAAATAGTGAAAATACACTATAATACAATATTGGCGAAACGATGAGATTAAGAAGATAATAAACTGTGTTGATTTAATCTGAAATTGAGTATGCTCTTGATATTTTTGGTGATAAAAAATTTGTGTCTTAACCTCTCCCATATCATGTTCTCCACATTCTTAGATTCCAAATAACACATATAAATATTATTATATGGTCGTCCGAAGTGATCGCAATATTCAGTATCAAACAGAATCTACATAACGTCAACCTTACTTAACTACCACAATAATACTGCATTAGCTTCATTAACCACACCAAACGTATAATTTCAATCGCCACACTCACACACCAATCATTCCATAGACTAAAATCAAAAACAAAACCGTGAATATAGGAAAAGATTAATAAAGGGGTTTAAGATTTAAAAATTTCAAAAAAGGGGTTTAAAACTATATAACGTTTTTTAACATTTGCCTTAATGCGAAGAAATGGTGAATATAGGGGACCCTCGAGGCTCGAACAGTCTCGTCCACTAAAAATTCTACAAATAAATCTGATTGGGACACGATCCATTGTCCGTACGGATTTTTATTATTTTTATTAAAATTTTATTAAAATAAAATAAAATAATTACGAGATACTCCACAAGCCAACTACTCTCAATTCTCAAACATAATTCTTTTACTTTTATTACTAGAAGAACAGAAATATTTTTACCCATTTACATTTACATGTGGCTCGTATCATTCGCTCCCCTATTACTTCTCTTTCGCCGAGAATCTCGTGTTCAATTATTAATTTATTGTGAACTATATATGACCTAGGTTGTGTGGAAACTCCGTCCGAGATGCGTTTCCTGTTTTGGAAACGTTTCGGAACCGAAATTTTTGTAAACTCCATGGAAACGCGTTTCGTAAAAAAATTTAATTTGGAAACGCATTTCCTAAAATATTTTAATTTGGAAACTCGATAGAAACTTTAATTCCGTTTTGGAAACTCGTTTTCTAGAAATCTCAAATTGGAAATACAACGAAAATGTTCGATTTCGTTTTGAAAATGCGATGAAAAATTGTTTCTTACGTAATAATTAAATAGTTTAGAAATATAAGTATATATTTAATATTTTTATAGGTTAAAAACAATAAAATTATGAAAGATTGTGTTTGGTATATAGGTTAAAAACAACAAAATTACTTTTTGTTTTTGTTAAGCTATTTAATATTTATGTATATAATTTATGTTGTTCAAATTGCTTTAAATATTGTTTTTGATGTTGTTGATTC